CATTTTTCCCATGTAATCATTTTTGTTCATGAGAACTATACCTCCTCCTTTATCTGGTTTGGTTATGGTCAGGGTTTCATCTTTTCTTAGTTTCATTAAAGAGTCTCGGTGCTGCTTGGTTAGTAGGTGATTTGTGGTACCCTTACTATTCTTGTATTGTTGGCAGCTATCAACTAGTGTGGTTTTAAACCGAGCAAGGTCCTCTAATGAGGTAGAAATCAAGTCAGTTGTTTGTGAAAATAAATTCTCAAACTGTACATCAGTATCTAATTGGTTGATTCTATGCCTACTATCACAGAATTTAGGTCCAAGAGATAAAGCTTCTAGCTGTATTACATCTAGTTCAATATTGGAAAAATTATGTACGTACCGTTTCGGGTCGAAAGGGAACTCCTTTTCTGGCTTTTGGTTTTCCAAAGTTTTCATTAATTTTGTTAAAGTTTTCTCAGATCTATTCTTGGAAATTTTTCCCACATAATCCATAAACATTGACTGAAGCTCTGAAGGAAGGTTTTTAACGGAATATTGTCTTTGAAGAAGATTATTTTCGAAGTCGCAGATATTCATTTTTAAAGTATCAATTTGATTCGACGCATGTCTTTCAAGTGTTTTTGCGTTAGGATAGATTCGGTTACGACGTAAAGACTTCCAATATATTTTAGGATATCTATTAGATTGTATACAATTAATAGCAAATTCTAAGCTCGTTTTCGCTTCTGTGAGACGTGCATTAAACTTCAGAAACTCATTGAGTGTCTTAAATGCAACAGGGTCCCCACGTGATTTTAGAATATTAAAGATTCCCATTGTGAAAATTAGAACAACACATATAAGCGAACAATTGTTTTCAATTAGATCGTCATCAGGCTTTACTCTAATATACATGAATATTTATACGAAAATGTTAAACCAATCAAGGCAATATGAGTCAATAATCACAATGAAATAAAATAAGTCTCTAGGTAAAAGTACAAGTTGATAGTAGGAAGACAGGTGAACTGATAATAGTGAAAATAATAAAATACAATAACAAAACTCTTATCAATAATTAAACGTTGGAAATAGAAGGTCAAATAAACATGGGTAAATAGACTAGGAATAGTAATCACAAAACATTAAAATCATTACGTAATAAGATGTGTGTAAATAATTAGATAGTGAAGAATACAAAGAGGCGGAAAATTACAAACAAATAATGGATGTGAAAATAAGGTCAATGATAACACAAATAAAATAAAATGAATAAGGATAATAATAAAATAAATAAATAAAAAGAATTGTTAGTTAAGTTATAACTGGCCATGGAAGGGATAGGGGGGTCACGTATTTCTTCTGTACACATAATTTGGGGTTATATGTACGAATTCCAATGGCTTCAGCTATATATAGGAGACGGGAACGGACTCCGTCGGAAAATGATGGAGGTATACGATAGATAACTCGAAAAGATTTCGATTTATCTACTGCATGACCGCTATCAATAAGATGTGCCAATATAGAACTCCGAATAGATTTCCTCTGGCCCTTTATGTACCAAGTTGGTAGATGTTCACTCATTCGTTGGTTAAGTTGCCTGGTAGTACGCCCTATATAGCTATCTCCACAGGAGCAGCTGAATTTGTAAATGCACATGGAAGAGGCCAACTCAGGTAACTTATCCTTCGTTTGAGTAGACATCGCTGGTCGACAAGAGAAGGTCAACGCCAGATTGGCTGCGTAGAATGTCCTGGTGATTACTTTGGTTAATCTATATTTCAGAGTGTCACTAGCCACATCCCCGTTGAATTGCACTTTCATGTATAAAGGTTTCTTACGAACAGTCGAAATCTCCGACTTTTTTATTATATCATGCATGTACTTCCTAATGAACGCGCTGGGGTAGCCGATCTCGGTCAGTGAGTTGTTGATAAATTCAAGCTCCTGACTTAGAGTGTCTACTGTACAGATCTTTTTTTGCTCTGCTAGTGAGACATCTGACCAAATTTCTCTTGTAACGGATAGGTGTGAAACTGCAGAAGTGAATATATTGGCATGAAGAGGGGTTTCTTCTATACACGCTTCTACTTAGTGTGCCGTCACTTCGTCTGCTTAGTGTGACGTCAAGGAAGTTCAGTTTCTTATCATGCTCGCTTTCACCAGTGAAAGTGATCGCTGGGTGGACACTGTTAAATTGTTCTAGGAGTTCCTCCTTACTGGTGTTTTGATCTACGATAATGAAAGTGTCGTCAATGTAGCGGCAATATAAATCAAGTTTCTGAATAGGCTCATTGAGAGGTCCATTTTCTAGCTTTGCTAGGAAGAGATCAGCTAAAATCGGGCCTAGAGGCGAGCCCATGGCTATCCCGTATGATTAGTAGTATTAGCAGTAATACTAGTAATACTATAAGTTTTAGTATGAGTAGTATTATGCGTAGTATTGTTATCAGTATTATAAGTAGCAGTATGAGTAGTAGGACGAGTAATATTATTAGAAGTATCATTGGTAATATGAATCGTATTAATAGTAGTTGTATTATTAGTTGTACGAGTAGTTGTATGTGTAGTATTATTAGTAGTAGTATTAGAAATAGTACGGGTAGTAGCTTGAATAGTAGTATGAGTAGTATTATTGATAGTAGTATTAATAGTAGTGTGAATAGTAGTATGAGAACTAATATTATTAATAATACGAGTAGTGTATGAGTAGTTGTATGATTACTAATACGAGTAGTAGTGTGAGTATTAGTATTATTATTAGTAATAAAATTCGTTTTAATGGTACTATTAGTAGTAGTTGTATATTTCTCAAAGTCCTGATAGCCACTTGTTTGTGCAATGGGGTGAAGTTTGTATTCACTTGGTGTTATTTTAAATGTATCTTCCTATTGTTATCTAGCACTACAATTGATCAGTCTCTTGTTGATATATGTGTATCCTGTGTGGATTACTTCGTTATAGCCTTAAGTCAGAAGCATTGTAAGCAAAGATAGAATCCAGTTGAGAAGTCCCAAATAGGACGAAACACATGTCCTAGATTATACTATCAGCCGCCCTACCGTACATAAAAGGAATATCAGAAACCGCAACGAGACTGCTGAAAAACTTCGGGATAGGTGTGGCGCACAAACCAACAAAATCACTACAATCAATCCTATGCAAACCAAAGGATGAAATAACAAAGGAAAACAAATCAAACATCATCTACAAAATAAATTGTACCAACTAAGACAAACACTACATCGGACAAAGCGGACGCCCGCTCCATCTACGCTTACATGAACATCAATTAGCAGTCAAACGCCACGATATCTCTTCACTTATATCAATACACGTGGATAACTACGGACACTCATTCGATTGGGAAAATGTAGAAATCTTAGCCATAGGAAACTTCAAAAACACCAGAGAATTTTTAGAAGCCTGGCACTCAGGTCAATCAGCAATCAACAAACATATTGAAATCAATCCAATTTATCAACCAATCAGGAAAATCATGCATAAATATAGGAACAAAAATCAAATCAATGGGAGACACAACCAAAACAAAGAAGTAAACAATGATAAATATAAGGTCAACAAGAACCAATCAACATCGAGGTGCACAGAACAAGCTGTTAAACACATATGGAGAAATTTGAACACTTCACTTCTATTTGAAGTTTGTGCAGATGATGTCGTTCAGAAGGACGATGAAAGTTGCACGACCAAACCATCCAGCTCAGAGAACAAAACTCCACCAAAAACGATGGTTTACTCAAAATTGACGTAATTTTTAGTTTCCTACTAGTATTATTAGATTTTTTATTGACAAGATAACTGAATTTATAAATCTGTTAAATGATATATAGGATTCTATATATAGAATGAACGTTTTGGTGTTGACTAACAGAAAGCAAGATACTAGTATAGGGGTTGTGGAGATTATTAAGTTTTTGATTGAGATCATGAACCGATTGATGTTAGACCATCATGATTGAAAACCTGGAAGCACTGGACGGCCGTTTCGTCCTATTGTGGGACTCCTCAGCAGTGTGCATCCACGATCCCGCTAGAGCGATTCGAACCCAGGGCCACAACTCCTATACTAGTAATCAACATGTGCTCACTAGTGACTAGCTTCGTGAGGGAATTCTCGGAGTTCTGCTGAGAAGCCGTGACCGGTGGAGCTAATCCTTGTCGGGTAGAGGCAGGTATCTACCTCAGTACAACGGAAGTTGGTCGCGCAATTTCGTGGACTGGTTGATGTTAGAAACTATCACCATTGGATGCCATTCATGATGTTAATCAAAAACTTAATAATCTTCGCAAACCCATACTGATAAATATATCATCATTCAAAATAATAGAAATCTTATTTTATGACTATACGATTTACAAAACTCATCCGATCATATCACATGACCAAGTGATTGCTTCATTACTTTATTTCCTCAGTAATAAAACAATGTCATCTATTAATTAGAATAATTGTGACAAACCATTTCAAAAATTGATCTTAGAAATGTTCCAATAGTATAATGTAAGTTCCTACGATCTAGATGTTTCATCAAGTTATCTGTTTTGTTGTTTGTTTTAGTACATCATTATGTCTATTGTGCGCACAATCTATTCAGGCGCGTTTATGAAAAGTTTACAACCTTTCGCCATACGGGATACAAAAAGGTACAATCAGTGACATCATGGTGGCTGGCAATATGCATTGAAACCAATGAACATTAATCAAATGTGAATTACCGAACTCCCAACGTGTAACTGATCATCATTCAAAATTTATCGTCACAATCGATCAAGATATAAGAGAAGGGGAAACTTGTTGAAAGAATTTATGCTGAGAATTCTAGATTGTACCTAAAAAAATATAAAGTTGAATAAAGATTCTAATAATAATAATAAAAGGTGAATAATGTCAGTGATAAATAATCAATAAAAAAATAATCAATAAATTGTCCTTCTTACTATTCAACATTCAATTCTTATATGTGATACATTTTTTGTTGTTGATTGGTTGGTTCAACTAATAG